CCGTCTTACGTGTCGTTGATTACCGACTAGTATCTAAGGCGCCACCCAACAACTGGTGACCTCGGTCCAGACCACGCCGTCTGCCAGTTCGAATTTCCATTCTGGTGAGCTCGTTCTTATGACCTTTTGAACTACTACTCGCTATCGTATTGTTTTCTCACCAGCCGTATATACTTACTCATTTCTCATGACGAATAGCTCAGAAGATAAACCATCCACCTACGTGGTTAGTGCCGTAGAGCTAACCTCCCCACTTTTTTGGAGAATGACCCGTAATTATGATTCAAACATTTAGAACCCGCTTTTTACATTTGTAGAAGGTTTTCTGATTGTGCCAAATGTCAGCAACTTATGTCTCAGCTTCAGCACAGTGTAGCCTCACAGGTGAGAGACATCATAGCTTGCCCCCCTCCCGCTGCGAAATATCAGACATTAAAGCAGGTGAGCATCAAGGGGAGCGCGCGCTCCGACAAGGCCCGATCGCAGCAACTGTTTAAGGATCTGCAGCTAAGGGACAGCATGCCATCAGCCTTGTTGCGACAGATGCAAACGCTCCTAGGCACATCCAGCATAGACGCTGAGGTTCTCCGCGAAATGTGAATGTAACGTCTCCTGGAAAACACACAGGCAATTTTCGCCGTAGCAAGTGCCTTGCCTCTCGCAGCAGTTGTAAAACTAGCAGACCGTGTCATCGAACGACATCATCTAACGTACGAATCTAGGACACTCACTCGACTTAGCAGCATCGCAGCCCCAGCGACATCCGCCACTAGTAAGCTTTCAGCAATTGACGCTTTATCAGCACAAATAGAGTCACTACAACGCCAAGTCGAGTAACTCTCCCAAGACCGTAAGCAGTGCAGCCGCTCCAGCTAATCACCCAGTCGCACGGAGTATAACCATTCAGGCTTTTGCTTTTACCATTCACATTTTGGTAACAACTTTCGTAAGTGCGAGCAACTATGCAGTTTCGCCGCCGCGAAGCAGGGAAACTTTCAGGCCGGCTCGTAATGGAGACTAACGATTGCAGGCAAAGCCCAAAGTCGTCTCATCCACCATTTCGCCCCGTGAGCAGATCAGTGGTTTACAAATGCACAGCTGACTCTCTACATACACTCACGTCTCCCTCCGCACCGACGCAGTGCGGTGCCCTCTCCAGCCTTCCTACACTGACTCTTTCAGGGTCCTGCAACGGACTTCGAAACACTTCACTTTAGACCAGAATGGTCACCGAACAATGGTGTCCATCGACGGGCTCAAATAGGCTTTCTTTGAAGAAAGTCTCGCAACACATATTGATGCCACCATACAAGCACCCACATCTGCGGTGAGTTTCTGAGCACTGGATATCCCGAAATACTCCGTTCCCCTTGACCCTTAACCTACCCCGCCTAAATCTCAGGCAACCTACAGAGGCGGTAGACAGGTTAAACATCCGGTCCGTTTTACAGATTTTGTAAACCTTTGCCATTTCCATTAACAAGCCTTTTTGTCTTTGGTGCTAATAGTGCGCCTCATCCACAAATGGTTTGCAAAATCGAACAAGAACGTAAAACATTTTGAAAATCTAAAAGCCTTACTTGCTTTTATCATGAATGTCATTGTTCCTCTCCGGCGACAAGCCATTCCCCGACCCTTACCCACCCGCTCTGAGTTCTACCTTCCAGAAACTCAACCAGCGGAACTACCAAGTCAACCCTCGAGTGACTCGCCAACCGGCTCAACACAACCCCTGAGTGCATCCATAGCCAGCTCAAGGCCCCTTCTTGACCCAAGGAACAGTCAGTCGCCCTCGACCGCGGACGGCCACGAAAGGATTGGTCCCCAAGCGCCTGGCTAGGAGTTGCCGACGAGGACGCGCGGATTTCTTCGTGTGACGAGGACGCCTTGCTTTCTTCATGAGACGAGGACCGGGGACTGGAATGCAGTGGATGGAGTGATACCTCTCAGGCGCACCGTCTGGTCTCCAACGGAGGAAATGTCATGTCGAGCTCTTTTCTAGACTAGCCAGTTTTTACAGTCCGAACAGCCCGCACTGACGGCCCACCGATGATGCCCTCCGGTCCACACCATCATAAATAACTAATAACAAAACCTGAATCCAGCGGGTTCTGCTACACACTCCGTTTTTGAAACCCGTGTTCAAGTCCATGCAACTGTTCGCACCCATCCTCACCCCCGTGTTCCCCCACTAACAGCTCCAACGAAGGCTTCCATCATTCAGCGTTCTAGGGGGAGGCCCTTGTAGGGTAGTGGAAAACGTGCACCTACAATATTTTGCAACCTTGGATTTTACCGTTGTTTTAACTTTCAAAACGTCCACTTGTTTTACTGACGGCACATCCGTTGCCACAAAACATTTTATTGAGCACCTTGCTGCACTGTTTCTCGCTCTGGGTGATTACCTTCCTATTTTTGTAGCCTGCACAATATACATTGGCTTCAGTCGCCTCCAGCTTCTATACCGTCCCGTATTTGACACGCCTCTTAAGTGTCACTGAGTACCGACTAGTATCCCAGGCGCTACCCCAGACTACCAGTCCAAAGACGGCGACCAGAAGTAGCGTTCTGAAGGGGATGGCAACCGGCCGCAACCACTTGTTTACTAATTAAACGTGCAGTGAAAGGGGAATTGTACACACCGGTAAGGTAAGGTGATGGTGTGCTTTGCACACAAGGTATCGTTGCTACACAGGTTAGAGAATTATTCGCTGACTTCAAAGAAAGAACCATGGCAGAGGGAGTTGGCAAGTCCGTTTACCACTTTTCAAAGCATTCATGAGTTTGCAAGTGTACTTTTATTTAGCCTAACACACCGCAAGGCCTAACAGACACCATGTTGTCTGTATCACGAGATCATAATGGCATGAACTGTATCCATTGCCACGGTGGCAGGTCGAAGCATGTGGAAAGCATGGGCGATCGAGAATGCACTTTATCTCACACAATCAAAGCGCATATACCTGTCGCATCATGACGCAAAACACACAACTGGAACGACCGGGAAACTGACGTGTAAGCTTCGGTTTACGTGCTCAAGGCCCGACGCAGCCGTCGTCGCAACTGCACCGTAACAGTAATTGAATCCAGCCATGTTACATATACGTCTCCCTTGTATAGATAAGTTCTACCTGTACAATATTAGCATTTAAATAAGTGTCTAATCTTTTGCTTTTGTAACTGGGCTCCATTTAAGCATCCCTAATTGGAACTAAGCAAGACTGGGTAAAATCCGTAAATGAACGTAGAACTGAAGCGGGGCATTCCTTTGTGCTTTGTGATTCTGATGATACGTTGGGGCATGTGGGCTCGAACCCCAGCAGTGAACCGAAGAATGAGCACCAGGGACAAGCACCGATAAGGCGAAACGCGCGTCTGGTGCTTTACCAGATGGGAATTGTACGCTGTAGCTTGTGGACTGCTGGGACGAATCCAACAAAAATAACAACCAAATCCTCCTACTTACAAGTTATACAAAAGGCAGCCATCCTACTTTCCAATATTATGGACATAGCATCTGATTAGAGGAAGCCATGACCTCGGAGCCGTCACTGCCACCTACACTAGTAGGGACCTGTTTGGTAGTGAAAGAGTAGTCGTAGTATATCCCAGTTAACTTGTAAATCATGTAGCTCTACCATCGTACCACATGGCCCATTGGCGTTAGCTTCTAGTGGCCATGGTTTCGATCCCCAGTAAGGGCCAAAGAACGCACACCGACGGGGAGCCCCAATAAAGCGAAATGCGCTTCTGGTGCTCTCTCTCTCTCTGCCGTGTATAGTAGTGCATGGTACGGCTGCGTCGCTATTTCTAGCGACCTGTTCCGGTTTCTAGACGAACATTATCTCAGAAAGCTGTCCATCCTATCCTTTTCCATGGCTGTTGCTACTGTTGCGAAGTTTGGCACATGTATCGGAGCCGTTTACTATTCAGTTGCCGAAGGTGTTTGGAGCACTTCTGATCAAAGCGTGGGTCCGGCCTCAAAAGTAAAGCACCGGCTGTTACCTCAAACATTCACCTTCATAAATGACCTACCTTATCGGATATGTTCTACGTGGAACCACTACGTATCGGTTACTTTTGATGCCTTGAAGAATTACAAGTCTACCGCATGTTCTGTGAAGAAATACGTGAAGTCATTTCGCTCTAATAACTAAGTTTTCAACAGACCTTACTTTATTGAGTTGACGGCACTATGCTGCTGTTGAAATAGAAGTATATATGTAGCTTGTGAGCTGCTGTGAGGAATACATTAAAAATATTATATTGTCCTTGCCTTCCAGTGCCTAAATATTGGTGGATTCTGCACCAAATCTGTTTGGTGCGGCCGTACGGCTTTGGCTACTCACTTTCACACTATCGTAACTTTGTTTTCTTTAGAAACCATCCCTTACTATTCTCATGTACTTGGAGCTCGTCGATATACATTGATCTGTTTGCATGTAAACTGGGTAATAGATCCACGGTACCTCTGTAAAAGTGCCAAGACTGCACCGCTTTTACAATCTAATAGAAAAATCGCCGTAGCTTGTCCCTGAATTAAAATGTGAATTTATCTTTTGATAGAATGCAACAGCAACCAGGTGTTGGCCATATAGGCGTCTATTTAAGATGGGGACAAAACCGAGAGCTTGTCTCTTCTTTATTTTGTGTTGCATATTGCTTTTATTGCGCCTGTTGTTACGTGCCACACCAGATTGTGATTCTAAATGAAACTAGCTCTGGTTCAAAGTGAACTTGGTGACAGTTTGGGAACTGGAGTGGACGTCAAGTTATTGACTGGCCACAGTTCGCAAGGCAGCTATGTGGCGGATATTTGTCGGTGTTGTTTTGTTCATTGTTCCGAGCAAAATGAAAGCGCTCACGCACACAGTAACTGATTGCTGAACTGGGGTGCATTTCCAAACTAATTTGATTGAAATGATTAATATACGTGCCGTGACCAACAAGTTCATGGATTTCGTCAAACAAAATAATGGAGCATGCACACATGAACTCACTGAAGCCAGTCAGTGTCACATTCGGGCTCAGTGGAATGCCTGCTGTGCCTTACAAGGCTGGAAAACCTCGCTCGGGAAGGTGCACCATTCAACAGCTTTGAAGACGTATTGCTCGTCCGTTTTGAATCAAGACTTACATCGGCTACTTCGTTACTGAGGCGGTCCTGGCGTTCCGTGTTGGAATTTCCGCCACTTATTTGGAGCCACACTGGGATGGTTTCGTCAACTTCTGGTGACTGGAGTAGGGAAGGTGCTGCTGCGAATTCCGCGGGAACTGCTGCATTCCGGATTTCAACAATAAATTCATCCTCATCAAACAGGCCACTGATAACATTAGTCAGCATTGCTTCGCATAGGTTCCAGTGAGTTAAGGGATCGAGGTATCCCGTAGGAATAGGCTCAGAGGACAAATGAGACCTCGTGTGCTCTTGACACAAAACCTGAGTTCTAAATAAAGTGGGACAATGGAGCAATGATACAATACAGACATGAAAGTTTAGACCTGACAAGACTTGTATGATGACCTGTTCCAATACATAAGTTCAAAGAAAAAACTGCCGCCGAACGTAAACATCGCATCTGTGGGCTCGCCACAATACTGAGGTTAACCACAGGTACGTTCGCTTACCCTGATTTCACGAGGGGTTGTTAAGCATTGCCATTTATGTTTTATCTCCTTCGATTAACAGAAGTCTGGTTACGTAATGCAACTGGCGTAGTGCAACCTCGTTGCTCTTGAAAAGTTAGTAAATAAATTTATCCTCGCGAAACGAGGCGTACATTAATACACGTGATCAATCACTGGTAGATGTTGGCAACACATCGATCGCGGATTGATAGGGAATCACCATTTGTCCGAAGCTTTTACCTAATTTTCGGCCACAGAATGTAAAGTTCTGAGAAACAGGTAGATTATGGGTTAAGATTGTTTTATGGATTCTATTTGGTGAAGTTGGCCATTTCTATGCGAGAAGAAAAGAAAATAAATTTTTGTAATCCAAATGAAACTGTACTGACACGCTTAAACTAAACGTTACTTTTAGTGTTTGCATTCTTTCCTTTGGTAAGTTGATGTGTAACGAATTCGCGATAAACTAAATTAATTAATCCTTACTACTTTGTCCAATATTAACGAAGTGGCTTGTTCATCTACGCTTGAACCGGTTAACTTTCTCTCTTGCCGTCCGGCTGAATACACCTGTTTTCCGTCTCGTATTCCACCTATCGAAGCATCTTCGTCGTATATCCTTGTCGTATTGCAATTATCGATGCGTTTATAAATCATTTACTGCTCGGTTTTTTCGTTTGTATTTCGAACTTACCATACCGAATTTCTTACAGTTCCATGTTGCACAGCTGTTATCACCGGAGGCTCTGGACTGACTCTGTTGATCAAACTGCACATTTTATCCTTACATAGATTGGTGATATAAAGGCCTTTGAAAGTAAGTAAGAATTTTTGGGGATAATTATTGGGAGATTTTGAAAGTTCCATTTGAATTTATTGAAATTGTTGTAATGTGATATGCTGCTTGTTAACGGAAACGCGAAATGTCTTCAGAGAATATCCAATAGGATAGCGTGTCAAGCAGTGGTTCACAACCTGGGGATAATTACCCCCAAAGGGGTAAAATGGCATTTTACTAGTGGTAAAGATAAGTACGAGCATTGGGTCATCAAATTGTCGCCAAATACAGCTGATGACAATGTTATCTATCAAAACAATTAACGAACTACATACTCCCTATTAATTAACTATCAGAGACTAATAATTAGTGAGTGTTCAACAACTTAGACAATTTCCGATGATAATTTTTGTTATCTTATCGATAAATGAAGGCCTGAAAAGCAGCTCATTTGAATGGTAACTCTATCGGCTCGTTCGTTGATGGTCGTACTTTCGAGTCAAGCAGCCGTTCGCCTGGTCGAATTACAGAGTTGGGTGAACACTAAGTTGAGAGCATATGTCAACCGACCAGGTCAAATGGCGTCCTAATGCTTACCAAGTAGTGGGGACAAAACAGGCGATTAATTACAGAACGTATCGATATACAGTGTGCTGGTGAAATACTGTTTTCCAGGAGGGGCTTGGAAATGATGATTGCAACAAATGATAAGCCATTGGCATCTGTACACGTTTGATCAGAGGTCACGCACACCAAAGCAAGGAAACGAATAAAACTGGAGCACAGCACACTATGTGCATTAACCGAACCGCACTAATCGAACCAAAATCGTTGGAATTAAACAATATCAACCGTCTCATTAGCTTATACCACCACTTGATTTAATAAAACTTTGTGGAAAATAAAGGTCTTGTTTATTCGAATGAACAAATTTTTCAATATTAATTCATTTACAGTAAGGTAGAGCGAAAAATGCAATAATTGATCAGCTTTTGAACCATACTATTTTTTGGGTCAATTGTTTATAGTGAACTCGCTTTGGGGTGAAACACTCGAAAAGGTTGGAAACCCCTGACTTAGAGGCTTTAATGATTCTACTTGGGCTGCATTCCTACTTTGTGGATGCGAGTATTTGCATCAGGCCTGTAGCCACTCACTTATCAATGAATGATGTATTCATATTTCTCCGTATCTTTTCTTGCGTCCAGTCGGGTCGCACGACTTGTGCCCTTATGGTGAGGTGCAGCATAGTAGATCGGGGATGAATGGTCTGGTTTGATGGTGACTGTATCCGATCCCCTCGTGGCTTCGAAAGATTCTCCTGGGTTTGATGATTTTTAGATGTAGTTCAAAGCAAAGAGAAGTAGCGTATGTTAACGGAGAAAATAAACTTCAGCACATTAAATATTTAGCATGTGATGGGATAAAATGTCAACATTTGGACGAACCTGATCGCGGAGAAACATTTTCTGACAAGAAACGGTGACATCCTGTAAGTTTATCACGCGGTAAATCCAGCCAATCGACCCGCAGTTCGTTGTTTCCCAAAAAGATCAAGCAACAAAATGTTTCCTGAATTCCTTGCTTTCATTAATTGCTAGAGACAACGTTTCAGCTTCAGCTTATGCAATTGTTCTTGTCATTTTCAGACTCAGCTTAACTTCAACCCGGAAGTTTATTCAAGGTAGTTACAGTGTGTTTGTGGACATCATTTGTCATATAATGCGGTTAAAATTTCCTCATCTTTTCAGCAATTGCTTCATTCTATTATAAAAATACACATATTTCTACTGGTCTGAGCAACTACTACTTTTGTGATTATAAATACTGGTACTTTCGCAGACCACAAGCAACTCAGAATGAAAGCTCTGGGATAAATTTTTAAGTAGATTGTATAGGTACTCTTCACACATGTTGAGGGTCATTCGGAAGTACACGTTGTGTGGATGGATTGCGACGCGCAATCTCAATGTTGACCGCGATTCCCATTGAAGTTAACCTTGGTCTTTCGATCACGAGGACCGTAGCTGATGCAAATAGAAATTGGGTGTTTCCCGCACAAGAACACTGCACTACTATGTGACGTTTCGATGTTATTACATCTCATCAGATAGAGTTAGCAGGCATCGAACCCGGGACCAAGGTTCACTTCATTGGAAATCGCAGTCAACATTGAGATTGCGTGTCGCAATCCATCCACACAACGTGTACTTCCAAATGCCCCTCAACATGGTTCATTAAACCGTTGTGCCAAACATTGCCCGTCGTGACCCGGTGGCGTAGGGGTAGCGGACACAACTAGCATTCCAGTGGTCCTGGGTTCGATGTCTGCCAACTAGCTGATGAGATGTAATAATATCGAAAAGCATCATGGTAGTGCAGTGTTTTCGGGTGGGCAACACCCAGTTTCTATTTTCTCTTTACACATTTTCCACAACCTCAGTCTGTTGTTGTTTACTCCCATGAGATTGGAATTATTCTTGCTCACTTGTGGAAGCGGTGATTAACCCTCACAAGAATAATAAAAACAGAACGATAAAATTGCTACGTTAATCTCCAGAATTTTCACTGCCTAACCAAGCGTTGAAATGTCTTCATAGTAACAGTTCAGCTCGGATAAAACCCAACCCCTCATCTACACCCATTGTGGCGAACTACAACAATACTTCCCGTCGCTCAGTTCCTATTAGCCTAACGTCAGATCACACCACGGAGCACACTACCATGAGTAACCATTTACCGATAAAGCTTTCACCAAATAGTGTAGTCATGTTCCATGCCTTTGTGCTCATCCTATCCCCTGAGTGATGTGGGACGGATAACTTCCCATAAGTCTAGTAAAGAATTCATTACTTCATCTACTGACTTTCTTTTTGCAAGCAAGTGCTGTACGGAACTATGCTATGGTCTGGTGAGACCGAAAAACATTCCAGGAACAGTGTGTACCTTTGTTGATAAGATTGCCAATGTCCAGATCCGTTTCCCAACCTAAATTAGCTGTAATTCGAAGAATACCTAGTAGAATAGGATAAAGTGGGCTGCTACCAGTTATGTTATCAAGTACACGTGACTCTTGCACTCACACAAAAATAAGCGCTGGCCGCTCTGCTCGGCGTCGCCAGTGACTATCGACACAGCTGTCCTATGGTTACTAATAAAACTACACGAACACTCATCCTTTTTTCAATTGTAGGCCATGGTAAAACGGCATACAGTACAAAATGTCATCAGTCCTCACGTGTTTTAATCCTTCAACCACATCCTTCAAGCTATAACTCGTTTGCATGGTTAACGCAACTGACTTACTTGTTTTCGATTGGCTGCTGTGCAGTCGCCCTGTGAAGAGACCACCGGTCTAAAACCTATGTTCGCTAACTGCTCATCTTGCATTGAGGATCTCAACCGAGAATTTGTCACTTACACTGCCAATACTACATTGGACCCGATATTATTCGTTTTGCGTTGATCGTAGGCTTATGGGGTCTGCTTTAGTGTCTATGTAGTTAAAGCTAACAACCGCAATTCAACCTTAAGCTTACAGACCACAATGCCTTTTCAGAAGACTACAATATATGTAACACCTGCCAATTCTATGAAATAAGGATATCCCTTGTAATCTTAAATGTCTTATCCCCGGTCCACCTACGGCTTCAATGTATCAGATTGCGGCGGCAATAAGGTTCGTGTAAAGTTCACAGAAAGTGCATTGACGGAATTTCCTTTTATCCACTGGGAAGCATAGAAATGGATTTGAAGCGACAAAGTAACTTAGTGCCTTTCTTTCAGGGATATGGGAACTGGTTTATGAAAGTGAATCCGTTAGTCACTGGGAAACACGCTCCACCCGGACAGGTCATCTCAGTGGTATCCTCTCCTACCTTGGGTGTTTTCAAAAAACGACTAGATATTGCTCTTAGCTCCCAACATTTTGTTACCTAAACTGCTCTATTGTGGATTACGCCAAGCATGCTTTCAACATGATTTATGTATCAAATGGACCTAAGTGAGCGACCATATTTTACTTTTCTTACTCCTTACGTCAACCATCACTGCACCCCAGTGTCTTTCTGAACGTTTACGCGCGATAATTTTTTCATTCTACACTGATGTTAATTATCAAAATTTTCATCTCGGCAGACATTCGATAGATGAACCAGACATATTTTAATTTCCTCATATTCACCGCAACCATCCAACGAGACGTGTCAAGCACTTGCTTTTATCCCGTGATAAATCACTGTTCATTGTTCAAATGTTGGATAAGGTGTATCGAAATACACGAGTGCTAGGAAATATCTACCCTGAAGAATCCAAATCTCGTGGCTCACCCGAGCACCGGAGCCCACTTGTTAACTTCCCTTACATTTAGCTGCTCGGTTGCGACTCATTTGTGGCCGTGGTTAGAGGTGGTTAATTTCTGCAATCGAAAGGGTCAGCAAAGATGATCAACAGTGAGATTGGTTATCGTGGCAAACTTGCACTGCGTACGTCGTCGGCGTCACTTTGCTGACCCACCTAAAAATCTGTCCATAAAAATCGTCCTGTTTTCTTCGGCAGAATTTGGTCTTGTGAAATCATGGAGTAACTATTCCATACCATTATGATACTCATCTTGAGACTTATTCACGTTCCAATCTGGACCCTTCAATTCCGCTAAATCGGGGGTTAGATATTCTCTCTGACAACGTACAGTCTCAAAGTCTGGTATGCTCTCCTTTAATGCTGCAGTCCTTTAGAAACAATGTCATTTCTTGTCTCTTTCGACGCCTTTCAGTGAGGTTGCGTTTGCATTTTTTAACATTTGATCTTTCCAATTTGTCATGCGTGATGTATTCATGACAAATGGCTTCTATGTACTTCGCTGTCCGGGTCACAGCTCACTAGCATAGTTGTTACTAAGCTAATTGGCGTTCCTGTCACGGAATCAAAGATCCTTATCAAACAGTAAAGCTTTGTTAACGACCAAATAATAGGTGGTGTATGTGTGTTTGCGCAAATGGTGGTCGTATGCGGTGGCAGTAAAAGCTTGTCTGACATGTCTAAATTCAGAGAGACAATGTATAATCTGAAAAACAGCAAAAATGGAACACAGTACTGGAACCATAAGAAAGTTATTTTTGGGGTTTATACACATACAAGTATTTTGTCTTTTGACTGTGCATTATATATTGACGATGCGATCGAACAGCACTGCCGCTATTGATATCCAATGTCTCCAATCGCTGGAGATCAGTGTCGCGTGGTTCACAGCCTTGATAGGTTTACAGATCCGACTGATTAGAAGCATGAGATCGCCTTCATCATGATGTTTTCGCAACTCACTGGTCGTCTACCGCGACATTTTCTGCAGTCGATTCCCGGAAAGCACAAGTAAAACGCCACAGCAATAGGCTGGTATACGCAACAAGTAGCCAAACCAAGGCATATGGTGTCGGAGGGTAATATTTTTGAGTGAGGAACCGTTCCTTACAAGTCCTCGGTCACGAACTACCATATTGCTTATGTGATATTGCCATCATGGGCGAGCAATCCATCGCGGACAACGGTTGTCAAATACTGACAATCGTTTCATATCTTCTGAGCGAATAAGCTAGGCCTCATAACCGAACAACCCATTTGGTGCCCGTTGGTTGGCTCGGGAATTTCCATTCTATCAAATGGTTTGGCGGTAGTGTTCCGGGACGTGTTTGGTTTTCGCACCGTAGGACTTTTTCTTTAAAAAGCCAGATTTATGGGTAACAACAATGCAAATTGGTGAATGTGTGTCTCCACTAAATAAAGTCGCTGTCCCTTCTCTTCTTTGGGGACAGTATACAGCAGCAAGCAATCCGAACATCGGATTTAGCTTTTGACATCGGCATCAGTGGGCCTTTGGAATAAGTTAACGCCATCCGAAATTCGCACGAACTGTGTAATCATTAACCGGTTCCCCATAACTGCGAATCTCTTATCTTGCCTTACGGACTTGTGAATTATGCCCATAGGCCAAATGCTCGGGCTGGTGAATCCAGTGGCAACACAAGCTGAGTCTACCGATTGTCATCACTAAACCACCAAAACACCCGCTCCCATCGTCACCATTCTCATGACGTAGAGCATGCTGCATCCGAAAAACTGGTGCCGGGACGGCACACACTGAGATGTCCAAGGTTGCCCTCTTTGATTCCAGTCGCCTTTTTGCAATGAGGCTCAGTGACCATTTCAAGGTAAACAGAAGTCGAGTTGACAAGCTCGGTATTTTGTGATTTCCGCCAACACGCAGCTCGGACACGAGCAAGGACCATTTCTATCAACACTATCTGATCTGATCCAAATGGCGCCTAAACAAACACCGTTATTGCAGTAGAAGACTTCTACGCATGTGTCGATCGGTTGCTCCAATGTGAATGCAACCTGGAGAGATCGCACGGACAGGATGTTGTTCCCTCATCTTATGTGCTGACAACTAAATTTACTTCTCCAGCACTTCTCCAGTCACCATTGACACCACATGCCAACTAGCGTTTATCATCATCAACCCAGCGCTGGTCACAAATTTAGTACATAACCAGAAGTAGCAGTTGGCACGAAAGCGTACGCGATTCCCAATCATCTTGGTCATTTTGCATTGAAACCGATCATGTACTGGAAGGGTGCGACAGTTTGCGTGTGTTTCAATAAGTCATCTGTGGTCAAACAAACCCGACTGAAAGACAACAAGTTGGCGGACCCAAAAAGGAAACCTGAGTATCAACAGACGCATTGTGAAAATCTCCCACCATCTGAAGGTTGAGCAACACCTACCAGGCCTGTAACAGGCCATGTCGTCTGCGGGTTTGTCCAGCCTAGCCCGCTGCATCGCTAAAAGCCGGATTTCGGTAAGACCATCGGAACTGCTAGACCGGCGACGGGCTAAGCCAGCCGATGCGGCGCACAGCGAATTCCGTCGGTCTATCTCTCAACAGCAGAAGACATGCCTTCATGTTGACTCTGAATTCTGGTTGTCAAAAAGAGCTGCTGGGATGGAAATTGCTGCATCGGTTGCAAACTCTCGTGGTAAGTCTTATCTCTTATAAGCCAACGGTTACAGTTCAAACACTAACAGTGAGAAAGTTTTGGAACTAGTAGGGCTGAAAATTACAAACCTGCGAATGCACTTGAATCGCTGGGCGAAGTACATTGATCACTCATTTAATTACCCCGCGCAGTTGCATGGGACACTTTCATTTCCATCGGATTGTGCTTGGCCTGTTCCTACAGATCATGCGACCGAGAAAGAGTACTGCAGGGCAATCCAGTCTTTGAAACGTCATGAAGCTCTAGTCCCTGACAGGCCATCCTGACTATGTTTAAAGATGACGGAAATGTACTTGTCAACTAAATCATATCCCTGCTCATGAAGGTTCGGACTGACTAAAAGGTCCCAAACTGATGGGCCGAATTGGTGCTTAGCTCGATCCGCAAAAGAGGTATCCGCGAAGAGTCCGCCAGTCATCTCGGGATTTTGCTTTTCTTTGTTGCGTCCAAGATCTTCGAATTTGTTTCATTTCTCTGGCATTATGCCATTAATGAATTTTTCTCGAAAGAGCAAGCCGGGTTATTTTCCAGGCCGAGGTTGCATCGACCAACCCTTCACACATCGTAACTTCATGAACTGCGTCAGTTTCACCGAAAGCCAATAATCCTGGTGTTCATGGACAGCAGGGGGGTATTTCATTCACTAGAGAGTTCTGCGTTGTGGAACTGTTTACTAAGGAAGGTGCACCTGACATGTTTGTAACCATGCTGGAGAAACTGTACAGACACAAGCCTGGCAATGTTACGGCTTATAGCAGGCGTTCCTCTTCGTTTGTTATCACGAAAGGTGTGCGCTAAGGTTACCCTATTTCAATTTTCCTCTTCAATTTCCCTATTGAAAGATTCGTTCAAAGAGCACTAGAAGGTGCTCAAAATTACGGTATTGTGCATCTTCCTGACCACAGAGTAGTGGACTTGGATTAGGCCGATAATAACGCTTTGCTTAAAGAGGAATCACAAACCTTCCACAAACTTTCCTTGTAACGCTCAGCTATGGGGCGTTTAAGTATGGCCGGTATTTTTCCCGGACAAGTGTAAAACACTATTCCAGGATTGACTGGCTCCTGTGCTTGCCCTTAACGTTGCTGGTGAGGATCTGTGGCACGTCCTTTGTTTCATTTTTCTAAAGAATTGCATTGAGGCTGGCGGCGATGTTAGTGATGAAGTCTCACAACGACTCGTAAAGGCCCGCATTGTTTTCACCAGTGTGACACCTATAGTGTCAGTGCAACGTCGGTCTTAAGCTTAAGGGCACTGTGTATAGCATATCTGATGACGTCAGCTTTATCTTGGTGGTGGTTATACCAACGTGTAATCGCTTTCTAGCGCACCAAGACATTGCGGCAAAGCATTGCACCTTTAGTGCAATAGCATATGCCACCGAAACTTTTATCAAGGCTAGAGTGTGTTTCTATGAATACGTAGCGCTGGTGCGGCATACTGGGAGGTGAGGTAGAAGGACGAATCATAATCAGTCCTGTGTGAAGTTGGTAACCGGTGAAACCAATTGCAGTATCTCGAGCACCAGTATACTGTAGTTTACCGCAAATGCTACAATTACTAGCAAATGTTAATCTGGCACTCGCAAACACAATGTTCGACGCTCCTGCAGCTCTTTGTGGCAAATATACCAAATCCTGAAAGTCTGGGGATTTTGTCCACATAATCACTTGCTTGGTGACTAGGTCATGCTGCTTTCCTTTCGGGTAGCATCTGTAGGTCTTTCCTGATGCTTAGTGCTTACTTCTGGGGGGCTGTTCCTTCTTATCTATCCTAAGTCATGTTTCGTCTGCTAATATACCAGGTGCAGATGCAAATATCTTCACGCCACTAGTTTTTGAACTAGAGTATTTTGTCTTCTCAATGACTGATTAGACATCAAAACCATGTAGTCGAAACCTGAGTCATTTACGTATTTTATTATTCAAATTTGTTGCTTTTTCGCCACTAGCTTTTATTTATTTTACATGTAAGTGTTACTGTAATTCAGAGGACTGTTCTATAGAACACGTGCCACCATTTTTCTGGACAGTTTTCATAAGTCAGCATCAACAGCCCATTTATAAATTCAGCCGGAGCTAAAAGAGCAAGGAGATGTAAACATCCAATGTTCCGGCTTCGCGGGTAATCCACCTCAAAAGAGATTTTCTGCGGGAACTACTGGATTACCGGTTACATAGCTTTCATTGTACTGGTGCTGTCAGTGTGTTAACCGTGTACCTTTTCACCTGTACTAAAACAACGATCACTGAACTGCCAAGCATGCAATGAAATCCATCTCCGCGTGACTTAATATTTCAAGCTCAACCAGGAAATGCTTCCTTTTAATAACCATTCAAAGAAAACTCTTGGGCTGCTTACAACTGGAGCAGCCACAAGCACCAGCCACTTACTCGAGCTTCGGGACTGCTGCACTAGTGCAAAATCGGCAATGTCCCTTACAGTGTTATCCAGCTGATACCGACATGAAAATGCGAAGTTGTGCTCTCCGCACACATTCCTCTTTCAGTAACCTAAACTGGCTTTTGCGTAACTAACTAAACTCTGCACTATCTCTGCTGCTTTGATTTTACAGTCCAACCTGCCATGGGGACCACCTAACTATGGTGACCAGTCAAAAATATCCCCAACCTTTTCTTCTATGATTAATGCTCCCATGCATTAACCTATCCATGGCGTCCATCTGTGCAAGGCGACCACTCTTTGTCATTCTCTTGTGTGGTCGCCTTAAACAGATTTCTTACGAATTTTGTGAGTAGGGTAATTTTCGTAGAAAGTAGAAGCCACGATTAAACTTCGCACAATAATCTGCCTCGATGGCAATCGAACCGCGGACCCACGGGTTAACGGTCCGCCACTCTACCACGGAGCTACCGAGGGCTGACGGTCAGGTGCGCAATTTGACTGTATTTCAAGCTAAATGCACTCAACTACCTCACCTGGTCCGTAAAGTCGTTTATACTAGCATTGCTTGAATCTGTGGACCCAGAGACATTTGATACAATTATTCTTTTTCCCGTTTCATTTTGTCGTGCATTTGATTTCCACAGGTGATTTCCTTCAAGTACTTCCTCATTGATCTACAACAGTGAGCGAAATACACATCAGACAGGTATGTAACGAGACATGCACAGAACTCTGTGCTCAAAAGTGCACTTTCTCACTGGGTCACAAACTTGATACATTCTCCATGGCTCGGTCTCAACTGTGAGATTTTGCAACAAGTTTGTAAACTCACTGTCGAGTACATAACAATAGCATTTTTTACTAACTGTGTAGTATCACAATTAGTGCGGTATCCACGTGTACATCTACTGCGGTAAAAAGATTGGGGACAGACATCATGTCTCACCGTGAACCATAAGTTTGGTACTGTGAACTTACTAAGCATTGGGATAGTTATATGATCAGATTATCTTATCTTAAATGGGTAAGTAGACCGTCGATAGAAAAATTACATATTTACTTATCCATATACTCACTTGCTTACCATTTTCGGGAAAAAATATGCAAATTCCCCTTACTCATATTCATTGTCAGTTGTTTTCTTTGTGTGTGTACATAATTACCCCACTATGTGCCGTGATAGCAGAAGATTATCAAGTACGCAGAACAAACCAAATAAAGTGGAATGAATTTTATCCACATGCCTCCCGGTCTTATTCTTTCGGGTTTTCACTGGATATGGGGTGTGTGGATGGAGCTGTGGGTGGTGCAGCGCAAACCATCCATGGTCCCTCTGTAGGCGCAGGCTTTCTGTGGCTGGCCACAGTGACAGACGAATCCGAAACCGGATGCCGCCAACCATGTGCCATGATAAACCGCCATCTCCTTGATTGTTGGCTGAAGTGATTGGTAATATCAGTAACTTTGGTAACTTTGCGTAACATCACGAAACTCTTAGTGTCGAAAGTTCAGTACGCCCTTAACATCATGTACCTGAGATGCAGTGGAATAATTACTATTGCTTACAAGAGCCGGACCCGGAAATCACAGAGCGAATTGATACTGAACAACCGCATTCTTAAAGGGATGGAAAACGAGATGTAACAAAGAGTGACACTCCTCGTTCCAAAAATAACGCAAATACAGCCGACTTAACAATCAAACGTTTCTAAACCATGGGGTTGCTGCGTACCTTTTTAATCCTGGATGCAACGGCCTTATTAGCAGGAGTTCTGTGGCGGTTCATTGGAACCGATGGGAGACAAGTAATCCATTCATTCGGTACTTTACTTCCCTACGTCTCGGAATACTCGGGATGGCAGATGGCCGTTTGTTTACAGGAAGAACAACTTCTAAGAATCAAGCTGTCAGCGAAATTCGCTTCGATCAACACACACCTACACTCCCGAACTTTGGTGATGCATTCTTGCTAGTCGAAAAAGGGATGTTACCGAAGCTTAGGATACCATGATCGGTATGCAGGCAACGGAGAACACTTGACAACATCAGCAACTATGTGGTAAGGCTGCAAATGCTTATTGGTTGCACATGTCACCGCTTTGTGACCTAATTAGTGCACGAGGGTAAAGTAGCCTATCAACATGCATTAGCCGAGTGGTTTACTTCAAATCCCAAGCTTCTGGACAAGCACGTGAACGGCCTCCGCAAGGTAAAATGTGAATTTCCCCTTCTTCAAACAGCGGATGGTCTAACTCGGACTGTTAAAGAAGCGTCGAATATTCCGAAACAACAATATGCACCAACGTTTCATTGCATCCCGTGGTATCCTGAAGCTTTAGAATCCATGGTGCCCACACGCCTGTCCAAGAATTGACGACATCCGCCCAAAGATGTTTGCTGTCGCGGCTAATCTTTTGTTTGAACCTGTGGTGCGGCTGTTCCAGCACTGCCTTGACGAGAGGCAAGTTCCTGCAATGTGGAAACACGGGATAATAGCTCCCATTTACAAAGAGAATAGTGGTTCCGACCCAGCTAATTATCGAGCAGTGCCTCTTCTACCAGTTATTTCAAAAGTTATGTAGGCTGTCATTGCCGACGCACGCAGGTCTTAGTTGGACGGCCTTGGTCACATTGCTCAGCAGCACCACGGGTTCTGCCAGAATCGGTCGTACACAACCAACCTATTGTTATCAAGAGACAGCTGGACCGAAACTGTGAATGCTGGTGCAGGAGTTGATGTAGTTTACCATGATTTCTCTAAGGCATTCGATCCGTTGAACCATGGTCTCCTAATCGCCAAACTTCAAAGTTGTGGCATTAGGGAACCGCTCCTCTGGTGGATCTGCAATTTTCTATCGCACAGGCGTCTGGAGTACGTGTATCCATGTCAGACCCATTTCAGGTCGAATGCGGTGTGCCACAGAGTTCGCTACTGGGGTCAGGTCTATCCTTGGTCTTCAGAAACGATCTAGTGAGACAAACTGAGCCAAAACGCATTACTCTACGCAGATGACATCAAGGTTTGGCGAACAATCAGAGCTCCAGATGACCGTATCCAGCTCCGAAACGACCATGACAAGATTTATGGATGGTCGGTTCAAAATCGCGTTCTATTCAATGTGGCTGAATGTCGAGTGCTCCATTTACGACACCGACAGGTTCACACACATAAGCTGGGGGACCAGGATCTGCAACACTGTTCTCTAGAAAATGATCTCGATGTGTTGGTATAGGAAGATCTCAGTTGCTCGGAGCAATCCAAAAAAGCGTTGAAGTAGGGCATCCAGATGGCGGGGCGTTTACGGGGGGTTTTCGAACAATTAGAACCGTCTACTATCCGCCAATTATATCACGCTTACATGCGTCACGCAATTCATGCATGGCATCCATGGCTAAAGCAGGATTTCACGGCCTTGGAGATTCCGCAACATCGGGCGACCAAAAATGTCAAAGGGCTGCGCCCCTTGTCATACGAACAGGGCCGCAGAGTGCTTTGCACTTTCTGCGGACGTTATCGGCGTTTGCTTGGTGACCGGCACATGACTTACCAAATATTAAACAACGCTACTGACCCGTGCCATCACCTGCTGAAGTTGGGTCACAACAAACAACTGAGAGGTCATCATCTCAAATTCGCAGAACAATACAATCGGTTGGAGTGTCAAAGAAACTTCTCGCTGCGTGTTTGCCACACGTGGAATAACTCCACAAAAGCTGTTCTTTCAGCCCCCATGTTAGCCGTGTACAAAGCCCGTGTCGACAGTGCACTGACCATACTGACCCATATCACTTAATCCAAATGAGCCCTACAAACGACAGAAAGAAAAAATAATACAAACCAGCCTCCAATTTTCCCTGAAACCACAGACGATAGCCTTGGATAATACATAAAACCAAATATGAACTGCAGACGGGAACTCTAATCGGCACGTTTGCAATTTGCGGTTGTTCACCATTTCCAATTGCAATTTTTACCTTCGTTTTGCTTACCCCAAATCGATCATCCGGCTTTTGTTCTCCGCAGTATAGCAGTGACCATTGACTCCTAAACTAGCACTAAATCTCATGCCATCTGTTCAATATCGGACTGACTTAATAACCGGAAAGCACATTTTATCCCGATTCATCAGTTGTTAACTCCAACTTATTACTTTCCGAGTTTCGTGTTTAGCATCCTGGTGGACAGAAATCTAAGTAGTTGCTCAGTTAAAGATATCGGGGCTGCTACAAATACATTACTGTGATAGAATTCGAAATGCCCATTTTGTAGACCACAAGGCAGCAGTTTGTGACAAGTTGTGCATTGTCCATATTGCTGTGTCAGTTGAAGGTATACTTTTGCATGAATTAAATCACTTCGAACTGCAAGTCCGCCCGCTTGGTTGTTGGAGGTATCCAACTGTGTTTAGCTCGTGCATTCCTCAGAAGCTTTTAGAGGTAACGTTCAGCGCGATATGATCACGTCTTGCACTTCCACTTACTGGACCGCCCAGATCAGTCTCCGTCGATTCCGATAACAACCTAGCCTTGACATCTTACCGATCTAGCGCTCGAGCGCAGCTTTGGCGTATGTGTGAGCTTTTTATCTAATGTGTAGGCTGGCATCTGAAAGGTTTTCCTATCAAATTACAAGAGTACTCTGTCTTTTTTGACTTCCATGGTCTTCGTAGTGCTTCACATGAGCATTCAGTGGAGGAAGAATACACCGGTGTGATTACGTACACCGTTCGGTACAAGTTAGTACAGAAGTGACTTGTACATTCTATGGCTTCAGTAAGTTGAGGTAAAACCTAATATTTCATCACGCATTGATTGGATTCGTACCATGAAATGCTACATTTCAAAGTAGAAGAAATGGTTGGGGATAGTTCTCGACGTAACTGTTTTGGCGGAGTAAAAAAGACAATCGCACATCACGGGTATCTCAGCACAATGGACTCATCCTATATTCTTTTGATCTAAAAGCTGTCCGTAGTAGTCGGTCAAAATGGTTTCAATGGACTATTCACGCTCACAGTCTGGCTAATATATTGTATGAACATCTGTTAAGAGATAGCTATGATGGTCTACACTCGGATGCCACTGCCCTACGTCAACTCACGCATAGACCCTCACTGGGCCCATGTTACGCATGCCAGATACTGATACGTAACTCGGTAGCATCAACAGCTGCTGAGGATGGAGGAATCAGATGAAAGCGTTACTCAAGAATCAAACGAGCTGGTAATTCATAGCAGGGAAACGTTCACTTCGATCATAACTTCGTTTCCGTCTCGTCCTCATGGTTGCTACACAACAACTTATGGAAGAAATGGGGTCTAAAGAACCCACATTGTTCCATCGACCAACTCGAATGCATGAACGTAGTCTGTCACATAACCTTATCCTCGTCTTCTGTCTTCATTACCCGTTTTACAAGTAAGAACATTATAGAACAAACCTTATTATTGCCCTAATAAATTCACCATAGGTAATTTAGACTGCCAATTTTGTTTTGAATTAACGTTATTGCTGTTCTAATATACTTCCCGCTTTCATTGCTACGGAGTCCGTGGTTTCTCGCAACGTACTGTGCCCATTTCCATAGTACTGCATACAAATACGACCTAGAAGCATGACTGAATAACTGCGGTGCATTTGCCTAAAGTTCCTAAACTGTTTCACCGTATACACCGTTGTAATCTTCGACGCATTGGCAGTTCGCAGCACCTCATCTTCCCTGCAATGGGGGAATAGAAGGCACCAGATGAAAGTTGTCCACACCGTTGTTTGTGTAAGCTTAGGGTCACCCACACTGCAAATAGTTTCAGGTGGGTTTGTGTGTTTCTGGTTGTTCTACATTTGATGAGTATGGTGTACCTCTATCTTGTCTCACATTTCAACCCGTAGTTCGTAAATGTAATATGACTGCTACTTTCCATGTAATACGGGACTGTAATCCTGTCAATCAAATGTAAATGATGGGAAGTGAAGATGGCTTGACTCACCTCGAAGATTACTTGGAGCTCAATGCTCCCTGGTAATATAAGCGCTGTTAATATTAGTTCTACCGGAACGGTTTGGCCTGGTTGAATTCTCCCAGCTTTCGGCCTGATTTCAAGCAGCTAAGGAAATAAAGCTTCTGGTTAATTGTTTCTTGGATTATATCTGCATGTTAAGTACCAGTTAACAATCTAATTAATGCATTTTACGTGATCACATGTTTGACGATGGGTACGCTTTCTACGATCAAGGATTAGCCTATGAAGCATTGAATACAATGTAATTGATGTTAGCGTATAAGTATGCTTCATTCGGTTGCCGTCGTCCGATATACGGATGCTCTAAAATACCCATGTTTGACTCTCATTGTGGAATCGGTGGCAAATGATAGCAGGAAACTTGTCACACAAACTGTCTAGAGATTAAATCAGTCATCATGCCTTCGGAAGTATCTATGCCTACTCAACTTCATTTAGTGGCAGCCAATGGACCATCAAATATTTATCTCAAAGACGCCCAAATTTATTTGTTGGGCTTACACTGTTTGCAAAAAAGGATTTCAACAGCTGTTTCTCAACGAGTTGAGAATCACCAGCTTGGAGAGGTAGGGTACAACAATGGGAATCACTTAGCATTTCACTAGTTATCAAAATACATTTCAATCAGATATGGTGTTCGAACGATAGCCCAGACCGTTCTGTGAACTCGGATTCTTCTCTTGCTGGCTACTACAACAGTACGATAATAACTGGCAGTTTAGAGGAGAATCTACCTAACTAGTCAGATTTTTTTGAAGCCAGGCATTATGTAACCGGATGGCATACTCAACAACGAGTAAAACCACCTCCTAGGAAGTGTAATCGCAGGCTGTCTGAAGGTAACTCCAAGTAGTCTACAGTATCCATTCTCAATAGTTCAACAAGCGGCTACAGGACAGCCCAAACAAATACGTTTTATAAAAGCTAACCTATGGTTTGCACATGCAAGTATAATTCAGGTAAAAAGTATGAATATACATCGTGGAAAAGTTGCAACTAAACTCATAACTGATCGGTAGTTCGAAATTCTGCCCAAACCAGATACACCACTTAGGCTATGGACGCACACCTGTACATGAAAGGCTACCAGTCTCATTTAATTGTCTGCTAATTCAGACTAGCAATCAGAAAGGGAATTTGATGTGTGCAGGAAGTAACATCCACGTGATACGTATCAGGTATAAAGTGATTAAAACAGCTCTGATCACCCTGATTTCATGCATACACGTGAGTTTCAAGTTCGGGTGTCCAGTGACGGTATCACTGCTGCTTCTTAACGTCATGAACGTTCTCATTACTGTGCATTAGTCAAGGAATACACTTCAACTCGGCTTTTGCTCGGGATATCACCATTAAGGTTAACGAACAGGGATTGACCGTCGCTGACACGCATTCGCATCGTTGAAAGTTACATACTCTTTCACTCAGCGTGCCTTTCGTGTTGGCCTTAATACTGTGATGCTTACCTAGCTACTTCTTGGAGGTGTCCGCAGCAGCATGGCCGAGCACGTGTGCATAAGAGACCAAAGAACCCTGTTTCCTTGCATCCAGGTTGAGGGCAGCGAATTTAATGACCTAGTTCGCATGAACGCCTCGAAGTGCGTATAGTGCATATGGTACAACACGGTTGCTTACAATTCCAGGATAATCTAAAGGAAGTGCACGAAGTTCTTCCTCGAATTTATCCGCTCCAGTGCACTCAACTGCGCACTGCTATTTAGAGGCAATCATAGTGACATATCTGGTGCGCAAAGTAGACAGGCTCACAAAAATCTCAAAATTTGTTCGTGTCTGGCTAGTTGCTCAGAAACTTGGTCATTGAATGCCAGAATATTCATTCACTCATGATGCCAATGTAAAAGTAAGTACTTCTTTTAGGATCGTGTAGTTATTTCTAACCGTGGCTCCATCTCCGATGCTCAGTACATTCGTGCACCTATGACAACTTGGCATACTGGAGTTTTTCCGCACATTGAACGTTTATGAATAAAGAACGATTACAGTATACACCACAAAGGCAGTATCGCCTTTCTTTGTCAGTGCTAGCTGTTGGTTTCGAGATCCACTGGTGACACGGCGAGACCGAAATACCGGGTATCCTGTCTAAAGTAAAACATGTTTTGGGTCAATATTTCGGAGCCTAGCTGGTATCATTGGTCAGACTATTTAAACTGTTTTCAATGTAAGAGAAACTGGACGCTTAAACCTTAACACATTTAAGCAATGCTTTAATGCAAAACATTTTCTGCCATGCTCAAGTTTCTGAATATTGAACCCGAGTTGTTTCGGTAGATCGACAATATCATACCCTTGCTGTAAACTTGTTATCCTATCTCATTAATGCCAAATTCATCCTAGATGAGTAAAAGGTAGGCAAGATGCTTGAGAAAAGAGACTGGTTAGGGGCAACCGATTAGGTCACTTACATCGGAATCCTCAGGTATGCGAGGGTAAACCTTGAACTGGTATGTGTCACAAGGATTCATCTTTTCGCCTGGACAAGTGCGTTCATTCTGTTGCAAGTGTGTCAAGTGGATCAACCTCCTCACGCATGCACCCATAGGAATTCGGCCAAGATTCAGCAGACGTTGAGATAGTTGAACCCAAGTGGGTATAAGCCGCCTGCTGATCGATTCATCAGTGTCAGACGAGAGGCATGCGCTGTCAACAGGGCAGGTTACACAGTCTCTTATCTGTTGAATACCGGAAAGAAACTGTTATCGGATAAGCGAATGAGTAAACGAATTCAACGTTTGTTGCTATATCAGTCGGTTGTAATAGCAAATCGTCAGCAGGATTTGTGCCCAAAGTTCATCTGATCCATCAAAATGAACGAAGGTGAACAAATTTTCTCATTTAGGAAAACAGCAGCAGTCGGCCAGAGAGAACAGCCGGTAATCATCAACACGGATTCATATTATTATAAAACAGAGTGAAGTTGTTACGAATATGACATACTCGAGCCATATAATGCAAAGGAATGTTTAAAGTTACATGCATTCAGAGGAAGGAAGCATTGCTGTAATATTGGAGATCTCGCTTGACTCCTACAAGAATTCCGTGTCATTAACATGCGACATGAACGTTAAGATGAGTGACGGAGTATAGGTTATCTGTTCCAGTCACCAACCACAAGACAGTTGCTTCTGCTTTTCGATAATGGAATGAATGCTAGAGGTCTATGAGAATGAAAGCATCTACTTAGCAGGCCTGCAATTGACTTACATGAGTGTTCGGTCATATTATCAACCTCTTTGCAACCTTGTATACTCGGATGATTGGTAGTATTTAACTCTAATCTTTCCTGGCATTCTGTTTTTGCGCAAACATTAACGCATCCACTTGAGTGAGAAGACTAGTACCAACGTACGGAGTGCCACCCACAGCTCCACACGCCACAGTTCTGGTGTAAGTCCAAAAGCGTAATAACGAGGGCCGTGCAACTGAATGAAGCCACAATTGCTCCAAATATGACCACCACATTCACATACACAGAGTCCCCGCAAAATGTTGGGCCGCCATAACTAAATCCCTGGGATTAGACAATGCAGAGAAACTCTTGATGGCAAGGTGATCAAGTTGGTGGGCACATGTGACGGCTAGTCGACTTAGGTTACCCCAGGACTTATCGGTTATGCTGCACGTTGCATTTTGGAGGAAATTCATATCAGAAACAATCAAACGGCTAGTCCATTCTGCGACTAAAATGCTGGTTGTGTCTCTAAATCTCCCTGAATCTGGAACTGTCAGATGGAATAAACTTGGTTCCTCTTCTCCCCAGCTGGTAGTCCATTTCTAAATCCATTACTCTAGCTGGTGGTACCGGAATTTAGGCGTATTTTGCCACTGGTACGGTGCGCGCAGCACCTAACAAGCATGCTACGGGTACAAGTTTAGGTTGCGCAGGTATAGTATATCATGTATGTTGAGACTAGCACAGGTACAGTTCGCATTGCGTGAACACCCGATAATCAAATGAGATGACCTGACAGTCGCTTCCTCAGAGCTCGGTTTATTGATTTCCACTAGTGCAGCGCCGCTAAGATAGCACTGTAAGGTTTATATCAAGTTTAGTCGTTTTACGGGGACTACACAAAGCATTTGATGTAATCTTCATACCTGCGCTGTCTCGGTTAATGTCCCACTTCGTGTATCCCCAAGTAGAGTTTGCGACTGAAGTTCAGACGGGTCGTAAGCACTTCCTACGATTTCCAAGGTTACAGTTTCCTGAAACGGTTCAGGGTTTTCTGACTCTCCTCCCTTCTGATCAGATGCATTTTGGATCACAATTGAACAAAGAGCCTGAGTAAAAAGGGGAGCAGCGTTGGCATTTGATTTACTCGAAATGCACTAAGCTGGATGTTGAGCACAGATTATCAAACGGTCGCACAGAAGAGTTACTATACTGAATACTATATTACAGAGCAAGTAGAAATGGATTCTGTACAACCCTTTCGAAATATGGTGAAAAACCTAATAAAAATTGTCAGCCGTGAATATCGTTATCGTCCTCATGTAACATTTAGAATATCTAACCCACAATATTGCAAGACTTACAAATGTGACATGTCATCGTAAGTGTGCAATCGTTCTCTGAATCGAATAGTGGTAAAATATAATCTAACAACGTTTTGAACTGCTGCACAGATGTCTCCATCACATGGTCAGGCAAACTGTTCCAAATATTTATCACTGTCCGTTCGAAGCACAGTGGTTAGGAACACGTTTCACATCCGGCACGATAAGTATGTAACTGTGTCCGCGTGTGCTGCATGGCCCTCGTAAGTGCAGCATTGGCCTCAGCATGGGGAAGTCACCGAGATGTAGAATACGGTAGGTCATAATGAGGTCAACTCGCACCCGACGGTAGGATAAAGTGTAGAGCCCTAGTTTCTCGCACCGGTCTTCATACCCAAAGCCACGTAAACTCGGGATGAGCCTGGTAGCAACGTGTTGGACCCGTTCGATCTTTTGTGCCTCGCCTCGGGTAATCAGAAAGTGGGCAGGCGAACCGTACTCTAGCATTGGTTTAAAGATGGAATAGAAGAGGTGAATGGCAACCTCTTCAGACCGTATGCCGAAGCTACGTTTGAGCGCCCGAAGCATGCGCAGTAAGTTACGATATAGCCTCTTCGTATTGTCCACAGACTTCAAATCGTAGCGTGAGAGTACACCTAGGTCCTTCACGGAGGGTGTCAGATATAGCGGTTGGCCGTCAAGGGTGTAGATTCGGCCATCAGCACCCTTCCCCAGGGTTATAAATACAGACTTGGCTGCGTTGACCGGGAGACAAACTGCTGCAGACCATGTGGATAGTCGGTTGAGGTCTTGCTGAAGTAGACCACAGTCATCAGGAGCATCAATTTGTCTCCAAATCTTCATGTGGTCCGCAAACAAGGCACACGGCGACCGGAGAAGCTGAGGTAGATCGTTGATGTGGATCAGGAACAGAGTGGGCCCCAGCACAGTGCCTTGAGGCATACCGTTTGTAGAAGGATACCAGTCAGTTAGATGGTCGTCGAACTGTACCCTCCACTTTCGTCCAACAAGAAGTCGCGGATCCACCGGTGCAACGAGCCACCGACACCACACATCTTGAGTTTGTGAAGGAGAATCTCATGAGTGACCTTGTCGAACGCTTTACTGAAATAGATGAATGTCACCTCGACAGTCTTCCCCTTGCTTATTGCCTTCAACCACTCATGCCTCGTCACAAGCAAGTTTGTAATGCATGAGCGGTCTTGTATAAAACCGTGCTGTGCGGGCGTCAGGACCTCGTTTGACTGTAGCAACTGCAGCGATCCATTCTTCACGATTTTCTCAGCAACCTTTGCCAAAATGTGTCGCACAACTTGGCCTGTAGCTGTCTACTTGGCTAGGGTCGCCGCCTTTCGGAATAGGCTTTACTACCGAACATTTCCAATCAATTAGCAACGAACGTTCAGACGGTGACCTGTAGAAAAGGTCAGTCACGACAGGAGAGAGGAAGGTCGAAAGTGACTTGAGAACCAGTGGGTGAAGCCTATCAGGTCCGGCAGATTTGGTGCCGTCGAGGTGGGCGAGTAGTTGACATACCTCTTCAACGCCGCAATCTAGATTATCGAGTTCGGTAAAAGCGGTACACGTCGAACTCGGAACAGACACCTGGTCATTCGCAAATACCGAAGCGAAGTGCGCCGCCAACGCGGACGCACGCTCAGTGCTGGAGGTCAGGGGCTGTCCATCCGGGCCATCTAGCAATGGGGTGGGCGTCCTCGCGATATACTCAGCCTGTGTGCGACTGGTGGTGGTCGCATGTCAGCGAGGTGCCGTTACGGCGTACAGATGGCATATTTTTTAATTTTTTATCCAGCACTGGCACATAACCTGCCGGCTTCGGGCGTCGCTTCTCGTAAGCAAAGATTCTGTTTGGGACGATCTTCGCGGCTATTGCGAGTTGCTCTTCGGAATGTCGGCGCTTATTCCTTTTTGCACTGTCGCGAAGGTTCCGCTGACTTTTATACCCTTCGTAATCATTGGCAGAGTTAGAGAGGAGGAATTTGTCCCACAGTCTCAGCCACCTCCGAACCAGATTTCTATACTCCTTGTCAAACCAACGAGGCTTATTCTGTCCAACCTTCCGAAATTTAAATGGCACAAATTGGGAACACCAAGATGTCAATCTCACTTTTATAAATATCTAACAATCTTCCACAGATGCAGTTTGTGACACAGACCAATTCAGTTACCTCGCGGCTCGAGCTAGACTATCGGTTTCCGTTTTCCAGTAGTTGTGAGCCGGTTCCAGTGGACGTGAATACGGCAAAGGTAATTCCATATCAGCTATCAGCACTGAGTGGTCGTTTGTAGCCAGGGGCTCCAGGATCCGAACGTCACGCACTCGTTGTCCCTAGCTCGTTAACGTCCGGTCGAGACAGGACGGGGTTGAGTCTGTTGTTATGTGTGTTAGCTAGCATGTGTTGCGAAGCACCAGTTTCAAGTACCAAATCCACGAACTTTTTTTAACCTCACTATGTCCAGGCATCAAATGCACATCAGGCCATCGTATTCGAGGACAGTTAAAAGCGTCCATAAGTAGAAAGTGTGGACGACTCATTTGGATTCGATGGTGGGGCAGCTAATCCAAACAACGAATCAGGGGCCTGCGATAAACTGCGCGTTTGAGACGGATGGAGCACCACAGTAGCCCACATAAGTCATCGTCACTTCGGTAGGTGCTTACAAGTCTCCAACGCAGGGATGACCGGATGTAAAGTAAGAGAGCACCATGGGCATACTTTAGTCTATTGCATCGGAAGCAAGAGTAACAGTTGAGTTCAAGTTCTTGGGTGTATGACTCTGAATGCAACCATGTCTCTGCGAGTCCCACTACGTTTGGCAGTTAAAAAGATTATAACATGATACGTGCTTAAACAAATTATGTACTGGCGATTCCACGTTAAATATGTTGTACGCCTACGTGATTGATGAGGTATGGGAAACACTTTCTGGACTGCAGCATTTTTCTAAAAGGAACTAATACTTAAAGGCATAATGCGGGGTAAAAATTGTCGACTGATATCGGGCTTCAAGCACTACATAGTTGCACAAAACTAGGACTACTGGTGTCGTGTCCAAATGACAACTCTTGCTAAGAACCTGGTACGGTGCCGCACTGAGTATAGAAGAGAGATCGCTCGGTATGATAACCAAAATTGACAGGCCAGTGTGATCACTATTCCTGTCTCAGTGACTGAATTACCTGTCTCAGTCAGCCAGTACTGGCTGACCGCCTTGTCATTTCATGTGTTCCCAGTGTCTGTCGAACCATCATCGCAGTACTCACTCCACATCTGGTGGCGTCGCAAGCAACTCGTGGGTTATCTTGATTACCATACCGTGCAATCTCAAACTGAATTGATTATGAAACCGCAGGTTTCATTTTGTCGCATGGTGGATTCAGATAAGCCCCGTAATACGACTATGTTGCTGTGTTGCCATCAGCGATACAGCATCCTTGAGGTTTTCACTGCCCCGCGAATTAGCCAGCCAGTACCGCGCAGATAACAGCATCAAACACACTATAAACAGACAGTCCGACTACGAGACGACATCAAACATGCCACTGGTGCAGACTGTGAGGCATGTCCTGTAACGTTTTGAGCCAAGCACAAGGCTGCTCAAGTGGACTCCAGTCTGGAAGATGAGACGAACCAACAGCACCAAGATTTTAGTCACTGATTTCCTTTCTCTGTCAAGTTAATTTTTGCTCCCCTCGAGGCTTGCGCCACCCTACATAGGGGAGACAAAACAAGGCTCACTTCTTTAAATAATGACCGGACATCCATAGTACGTGCCCAACACAACGTAACTTATTGAGTGCTTTTTGTTGGTCTAAGAAACTAGCATGTTTATCAGTGTCTAGTATTCACATACACATCATTGTTGCGGACCTGCTGATGTCCTCCGACACCAATAATGTTTCACGGACAACGATGATCAAAGGCTTGAATGCGCCGCTGCTCCGCAGATCGGAGGAGCCAAGCCCCACTCCCACAAAGTAGAACAGTCCTCATTGTAGCTTTGTAAACAAGACTTTTTGGACAGGGATACTCGTTTCTGACTTCATAGAGGTCGCAGATTCGAGAAGGCGGTTATAGCATTTAAAATAATTTAACTGCAGTGTTTATGCAGCTATCGTTGTTGATGCAGCTGCCAAGGTTTGTGCTCATTATCAACTACCTCGAGTTTCTCAGTATCAAAGATCAAAGGGTAATTAAGTGGCCTGTAGTCATGTAACAGCACTTTACACTTTAAAGTTGTGAAGTTCCTGCCAGATGATGACATCAATTTACAGAGGTTATTCGGGGTTGAGAAGCTTGTCCCAAAATCGTTAAACAGCAAGAAAATACCGTCTGCATAATCAAGATCAACTGGCTTTTCACCAGGAAACACCTCAACGCCGACATCGTGTGGCACCGCAAAGGAACGCCCCATGATGGATTCCAAGACGAACTGGAAGAAAGAAACTGAACAGCCCTGAAGAAAGCTACTTATTGTTAGAAAGATATCTGATAAGTCAGCGTAGATCCTGACGTGGCCCGTGGTGTACAATTACATGGTACCTTAAATATTTACATATTTCATGGAACACCTTCCCGCACAAAATCTCGAACAGTTAATATCACGGGCGAAGGAAAAGTGGTGGAAGTACGAATCAAACACGTGGATCCGAGAAAATGGTTTCAGCGGAAATGGAACCAAGAGATAACATCCCAAAGGAAGACGTATGCCGGCCAGTCTAATTAAGGAATTGATAAGGTAAGTGGCAAGAAATCAAGAATAACCGAAAGAAAGATTAGAATTACGAAATGTTACAAAAAATTATGTGCTACTTACTATTACGCACCGGAGACGTCACCTCAATTGGTGGCGAAAGTTCTGCAATCGAAATGCTTAACTCGGAGAACTAATCAAGATTTCAGCCCCCAAACCGAGCTACCAGTATGCAGAATTATTACAAAATCTTCATTATCCTTGAACCGCACCCCTTTCGGTTTGGTGATCGACGTAACTGTGATGTAAATCTCACCAGCAGGTAATTCAAGGAGTGTCTCACCAATGCAAAACCATAGCTCCTTATCATGAGTTGCTATCTCAAGCTTACCGTATGTTTCCACATCTGGCACGCAGTGGAATATAATTGTTCCGGCTTTTCTCCCCCTGTCATGGCCTCCGAAGCTGCTGTTAAACAGGTAACTTTGTCATGTGTACTAACAAACCAGTTGCTATCACCTCTTGCGTAAAAAGAATATTCCGCATTAAAATCGAAGGTTTCATCTACTCGAACCTGATGAGGACTATGCTTCTATCAGGAAAGTCGCTAGATCGAAAAATACATAGACAGTAGCAAGTATTTTTGCTCGAAACATAAGACCAACAGAATGTTTTAGCAATGTAAGTGATACTGGATTCTTATCTTCATAATATAATATAATGGTCATCGCTGTAGATAATAAACGGTCCTTAGTATAGATACATCCAACTACGCTGCGGCCGTTATAAATGATATGGTTGCTATAACAAATGAGTGAATAGAAAACAGCTCACTCTGTATGTTTTCGCTTCCAGTGGGCGAAATTTCCAATACAGCCTGACGAATCCTTGTGCTTCGATTACTCCTTGAGGATTAAGACATGTGAAGATCGGCGTTTCGTATTCATGTACCCCGATTTCGAGGCGGCAGGTCTGATGTGATTCGTTTCCCCATCTGAGACTGTCCAGATTGAATCGCACCATCGTGGCGCCTGGGTTAAAGAGCTGCATGGTCTGCAAGTGAGTGGCAAGTTGATCCCCCTGAGCGAACACAACTTCGGGGAATACATGAAGATGATTGTATGGCGTCCCCATGTTTGTACTGATGTGCGGCTTCCTCGTGCTCACCGTCTTGCCCTGCAGATTAAGCTAGAAAACCATGAGATGAAATGACCTAAATGGGGAACGCTAAAGACCTGCTGAAGAACGAATCACCCACCAGTGATGGAGGTGGTTGTTATTTTCGTTAATAGCCTGCCGTACAGACATTTAGGGGTTAGGCTTTTAAGTCAGCAGCGTTGAGCAAATGCTCCGATTGAGGTCCGGCTTAGATCTCATCCCTATGACTGTATTCCATCCTGTATGCAACTGTGATTATTTTACGCTTGTAACCGGACAACTTTAAGAACAACTGCTTGGTCAATAAAGTGCAATTACCGAATCATCAGGGTCGTAGGTAATGGGGTATAAATACTTCTCCCGCAAATACGTTCTTTTTGGATGTGCTGTGACCAGGTACTTGAAACTTACATTCAGCCCGTGTTTAGTAGTGGCAAGGCTTTTCGGCAGCGCATACATCACCAGCTACGTAATGTCACGACATTTATCATCCAGTTTTCTCTCATTAAACCACTGCAATTCATGATTACGAAGTGTAACCACGGACACACCCGATTATGTTAGGCCATTCGTTTTCGTAGCCGTATTACTTGAGAACAGTCGCAGCAATGTGACAGTGTGGCTGGACATCACACGCTGTGGTGCAGCATTCATCAGTTGTAATGACGGTTCTCTTCCATTTTATGGACAAAGTCATTGATGGCGCCATTTGGTGCTTAAGTTATGCTCTGTGATCAATGACAGCATCCACAGGGTTTTTAACTTGATGCATATTCGATACCCATAACAACTGGAAGTCTTAATTGATATGTCATTGAAAAGGAATTTCTTCGGTTCCATCTTGTTTGTGGGGACGCACATACTTTGGCCAGGTATTACAGCGAAAGTCCCCACACCACATTTTGCCCGCAATACGTTTACTTCAACGAAAAACAAGCAGACTAGAGCATGAGTTCAAAAAGACACATTAGATGGCAATCGCCACCGGTAATGACCTTCTCATGAAGGGCTCTCTATCGGTTGCAGCGCGCTGGTCCTTAGAAAGTTCAGTAATAAGGTAAACAGCAGCGTGAAATCAGTGATGAATGGTTAATACAGGATATCCAACTACTAAGGTCAGGTTATCATTGTGGTTGAGTTACGGTCACTAAGAAACATAGCCCTCTTTCTTTCCGCCATGGCCATTTATGATGCTTTTATACAGCGGTATATTTGTGTGTAACTGGTTAATATTCGTGGAAGTGAACTGTACACTTAAAATATCCTGTACCGGAAGTCAGTCACAAATGTTCTAATGTTATCCAAAGACTTACCATATATGTCGAAAAATCCATGTTTAAGCAAGCGTAAAACGTTGGTCCGTCTGCTTCTACAACGGCGATGCTTCAACGTACTCATTTTGTTACCTGTCATCAACAGACAGCACTTGTCAGGACACTGGAGACCTTATCCAACAATACCTGCCTATCTGATACCCGCCTGCAAGACTCGAGCTTTGCGCTCACTCAGTGATACCCTTCAACTAACACTAGCAGTACTTACTCACTTCGTCTATCCGAAGATGGTGCAGCTTTGAATGCCGCCTAAGGCGGTGTGGGTATTGCCCTGAGCCTCCTGGCTGCAACTACCCTGAACGTTTGGCTCCCAGTCAACAGCCGCATGTGTGCGATTCGACTGGCTGGCTCGTTCGGAGCTTCGAAGTCGCGCTGGACTAATAGATGCCTGCTGGGCATTGCGGCCTACGCGCCCACAAAACGTACAGCCGAGTCAGTGAAAGATGAGTTCTATCACCAACTGAACGAGCACCTTCTCCAGAAAAAGCACGGACGCTGTAGTACTGGCCGGGGGTCTGAACGCTTAAGGTGGAAAATTGTGCACTGAGGAGCTGCATCTAAGCGGCCTGCATGATGCAGGCTCCCGTAATGATAACGGTGAGCGGTTAGTTCATTTGTATGAAGATGTTCTCCTATTTCTCGCGGGCAGTAACTTCCAACACAACACCCGCCGGAGGGGGACATGGAACCCACCAGCATTGGAGCCGCCATGGAGATAAATCCATCACATCGCCACCATTTACCGCTGGAGAGGCTGCGTCAGAACTGTTGCTCGATTTGGAGCACATGTGTGGATACCGATCACATACCTGTTTGTGCTGATCGAGTGGGTTTGGATGACCGTGCATGATGGTAATGTGATCGCATAGACACTTGTGGAGTAAAGACGGCAAAGATCATTAACGCGCAGCAAAGTAAGTTTGTATTCGAGCAGAGTAAATTCTTAGTGAACACATTCGCAAATCACTGGCCTCATTTTTGTCAGAAGTTATCATTAGCAGGCATGTACTCGCGTATCAACTCCGATTGCCAACCTCGGCAATGGGTCTCCACGCAGTCTCTGGAAATTCTGGACGCGAGCAGATGCATTCGGGCAGGGAGCGAGCTCCATGGCACTCTCAAAGACATGGCAGAACTGGTTGCTCTCCTAAAGCGAAAAAGCGAAACCGGGGTCTTATCGGGCATTAGAGATGGAAATGTCTGCTGTCTTTGGTGGCCATCAGCAGTAGTGTCGTCTGATACGGGAAAAGTACATCAGGAAACCTAGTGTTAACGAAAGTATAGGTAGCGAAAGGGAAGTCTTATTCATAACTTCAAAACAGTTGCAGCATTGTATTGACACTGGAGAGCAATTCATTCGGCTAGGATTACCCGATGCTTGGATCCATCCTCTCTTGCACACATCGAATGTGAGATAGTGTTGTTCAAAATAACTAAGACCATGTTACCAAATGGATGTTGCCAGATGGAAATGCCGCAACATCCCTAAAATTCGGGGGACCAGCTCTTTTGGATATTTTGCACGATAAATCAGGGAACTGTTCCAAATGAATGAAGTCGTTTCATTAGTCCCCATTTTCATGGAAGGCTAACTTCCGGAATGCGGCAAGCATACAGATATCAGACTAACCTCTATCGTCTGAAAGCTGCTGGCTTCTATCGTTCTTACTATACTGAGTGGCATCCGTTAAAGCCAGATCGGTGGGGAGCAGGTCGGGTTTCGCAGAAAGCAAGGGTGCGCTGAACACAACTTCAATTTATGTTATTTACTGGAGCCCCGTCAACCATGATGGTGGCCAACCGCTAGCCCGTTCCTCGAAGCCTACATTACCTTTGATCAGATGGATCAGTGTGCTCTTTGGGAATGTTTACTTAAAAAAAGTGTGTCCGAAAAATACTCACAAGTCATAACAACGCTTTGAGAGCGTAGTTTGGGCAAATTCAGCATTTAGGTCTGTTCTGCCAACCGTGGGGTGATCTTCCATACGCAATTGTCTGTTCTTCACTTTAGCATTTTCCGCAAATCGTTTGCAATTGCAATCAGCTCCCCGAACCTTCACATGGCCTGATAATCTGGAATACATTTCGGTAATAATAGCAGCTTTGGAATAATAATCCACACTGAGGCACGTAAATCAGTGCAGACGGGTGAGTAATTCGACTGTTCTTCACAAGGTTCGTTTACCATTTTAACTTATTATCCCGTTTAACCCGGTGACAGTCAAGTCCAGGGGCGTAGCAACTACTTTGCCGCCCGGGGCGGTCGTAAAATGCTCCCCCTGTCAGCTAAAAATCCGTAAACCGTCATCAGCTGTCAGTAGTTTATCTCATATAACAACAATCAAAGATCTAATCCTAGAGTACTGCGGCAAATGCAGGTATTTGTATTGCTATAACACTGGTGTACACAATTTACAAACACATTTTTGTGCTTTACTTGCGATAAAAGTAATACTACGCAATCAAAATTCTGCCCATTGGCAAGTTCCCAATCCACAGAGAAAATAGCCAAGTTCGTGAGCTTGGTCAAGTCCATTGCTGGTCTGAAGTAGACCTGATATAGAAGAAAATGTGGGTAGCGTCGAATGTTTATCTGTTGATACTTAAGCATCCCTACGACACACACAAACGCAGTGATGATGTTACCTCGACTGCTGACAAAACGTTTGCAACAAAAATGCTAAGCTCAGCCAACTGTTCGTCTAACTAACGAATGTAGGTCTTTATAAACTTGAGTTCTGGAAAAGAGTACTCACAGCCTACAATGCTGGTAACATGGGTAAGAAAGGTCTGCAGCAAGATCGCAAATTTCGGTGATGATTACACAAGATAATATTTCTGTATGAAGCGGAATGTTTAGTAGGTCTATTGATGTTGTCGTTTCCCGAAGCTTGCAAAGAAGACTTCAATCTGCGGTAAAAAATAATCATATTGCGAAATCTTCCTCGACTTGGCTAAAGCTGAGAATCAGCGTTATAATCAAACAGATTTGAACGCTTAAGAGAAGTCAAATTGTTGCAAGATCATGAACTTGCTTAAATCTAACACCTATTTCACTACTCCTTTGCAATATGACTATGAGAGAGTATTTCCCGTTTCAGCTCAGCTTGATATCCCATCGATGTATAAAACAGCTCCTCAACATCCATTCTTTTGGCAGATTCGTCGCTGCCTGCCTATATTCAATTCAGAGCAGTTTTTCTTCATCCATTGCACTGTCAGTCGTTGTTCCGCAAAAGCCAACATTTAAGGTGCTAGGCTTGACTGAAAGTGGCTGCAGATGCAGCCTGTTTGTTTGGAAAGATTTCTAAGCATTATTGATTGCCAAGAGAACAGATCTTCAATGGCTCAGAAACGACATAAACGGAAACCACAGCCCCGTTTTGACTATTAAAGACGCATCTCATCTTGCGGCTGCATTTCCTCCTTTTTCTGTAAATTATTTCCCAACACTGACAATTTCCGAGGATTTCTCCACCATAATATTTACAGCGTCTGCTCTCTACTCCAGTTAGTTATCAGAGCAACTGAGAAGACACTACAACCTTCAATTTCAGCTATTTTTATGCAGTGCTTCACATCACCCATCTGCTTTTGTGAGGTAACTTGAAAGTGCTTTCGAAAGTTGTTGCTTTCCTTCACATGAAATATGATTTTCTTTCTCATTCGCTTTGTAGAAATACTCACAAACTCGTG